GACCATTAATCTTCAAACGAGCGATATGTTTGTGTACGTGTAAAGTCGCACAAAACCCCTCCTCCTACCACGTTTGGTATTTGGTGTATAGTGCGTTAAAAAAAAAAATAATAATAAAATATGTATTATATTTCTACACCACAGATAAATTGTACAACCACAACAACAATTATTTATTAATAATCTAACGTCGCCACTGGTTTAAAACAGCAAAATTTGGTAGATATCAGGGACGGCTTGTAAGCACTTACTACCGGGGCAGTGTCCCAGTAAAAACATTTTTATGTACATTTTGGTTAAATAAATTAAAATTTAGTAGGCATACTAGTATATTTATGAACATATTTGGAGATATATAATTTACGTTTTAGCGTTTAAGTTGTTTTAATGTGATACGATGGAAGCCAGAACATTTATTTCGGGATAGGTGGGGTGGTTTAAATTATACTGCCACGGTAAGATGTAAATGTTCAAACCGTCTCTGGATGATATTCATTCTAAGAAAATATTTGCGATATTTTCTACCCGTGTAATTATTTTTATACGTGCTACATGCAATATTGATCGGCTTCCGTCATTCATTAAAATACAATAATAATACGTTCATGAATTTTATGACAAAACGAAAAAGTATTGTTAAAGAGTGTTTGCCTTTCTCACACCGCCTTAGAGTTGTCACTGAAACCCATACATCCTTCCCTCGATCCTTTTTTTGTCCAATTCAATAGAACTGTACATAAACCCTAGGGGACAGACGGCAATGGTTCACAGAATTTCTGTATGACATTTTTTAATCCTCTATCGATCTCAGAGCAACAGTCCCTAAATAAATCATGTCAAATGACGTGTGCAATATTATAATAGTACAATAGTAAACATTCCATATAGAAATATACTTTGTTATAAACGAATAAGATCTTTAAAAATAACAATTTTGCAATCCGAAGACTAATAATCTCATATCAAAATAATTCCAAACAAGCAAGTATCATAAAAACAAATTTAATCAAGTGTATACGAATATAATTGTACTAGGACTTAAAATAAGCGAACCAATGGTCCATAAAAACACGTGATGAAACCAGAAAAATTTACTTTTTATGCGTGTTTTTTTTTAACTTATCATGAAAACTTATCATGTAAATTTCGGTTATTTTTACTCTTCATGGCACAACTTTGAAATCGAATTAAGAATAATATTAGAAACTCGGAGAAATACTCTAAAACGGAATGTCGACAACACATCTGTTCCACATTTAACATTATTCGTGTCCATTGGACCGTTCACATAGTATAGTTAACCCCGAGAAAAATCGGAAAAATAAAATAATTACGCACAGGATATACACCCGGGGTGCAGGTGCTTGGCCACCGACCTGATGAACCACGACCGTGCATGTGACAGATCCTTATGTACGCGACGAGCGGCAGTGATAGAACAATGCATCAACGACGAACATATTTTTGTGACCGAAAACTCGTAATTTGTACACCATTGTTATCCACGTCGGATGATGATGAGGAAGTTTTTTTTTGTATACTAAAACTCTCTCTTACAGCCGACGATGTTACAATATACGCCCATGCGTGTCATGATCGTCTTTTCGAGAAGAGGCTTTACCCCTAACCTTTTATTTTTCGGCATTCCTTGACAACGGATATGTACGACTGTGATCAATGAAGACGAACGACATTATAATTGTACAATCCATTTGATATTAGACACAATACATATAGCGGTGATCTCAAAAAGGGGAAATGTGTGTTTATTTTGTAGATGTTTTTAATAAGAAACATCCGCAACCGTTTTGTTTTTCATTTTATTTATGCACGATTTTTTTCTGCAAGACTGATGATCATAAATCGTTCATAAAACATCTATAGTTACTATATATATTTTTTAAATAAGTTATGTATGTCTAGAACAATGATATAAAATAGTTTCAAAAGAAAAAAATTGTATAAAAATATGTAAAAGTAAACGAATTCACAGTAAATGACTGAGAATTATAATTGTATTCCAACACGGTATAGTGAATGATAAACATCAATTTCGTACAACTAGTGTCAAAGACCAACACTTACTGAATAGGATTTCTTTTTAACGTCATTAAATAATTTAATTACAGTTAAAATATTAAAACCTACTTACTTCTTGGTAATTAAAATAATTATGAGTTAAATTTATTTTATATTAAACAAAAATTATTTTTAGTAGACAAATTAACAATAGCATGAACTTTTTTAAAAATATGATTTAAGATTTAAAATATGATCAATGGAAACATATGCATGCACTACTAGTAATTAATGGAGTAGAATAAAATCTTTATAATTCATTTATATTTAATATTGTATAACCGCATATTGTATAATATTAATACAACAAAACATTGAAGTTCTGATAATTAATAATATAATTAATGCCATCAATGGAGTCTATATTTAAATAACTGTCATTCAAACGAACTAGTGTGATGTATTTTTAGAGTGGTTTAATTTGTTTTTAAATTCATATCAGGGCATAGACAGTTTTCTCACGATTTCAAACGAAAAATTACGATACAAACCAATCAAAATGATTCATCAACGGATGAAACACCAAATATTATTTGGCTTTGGGTTTTTAAATATAAAAATAATACCATTCATTATTAATGGTCAGGTAATTTTTTTTTTACATCAAGGGGCGTTAGATTCATTTTTTTTACTGTTGCAGGGGCGAAACGGAAGAGGCAACAGAATTACATGGGAAATGATATTCGATACACGAAAATATGCGGATTCCGCGTCACACGAATGACTTTCGTTTGCTTCTATGCATTATTTCATGAAACAAACTTACAAGGGTGCTGTTTATTGCATTCCACGGCGGCAGCGACGACCGATCGACCCGAGCCCGCGGCGACCTACCAATCGCTGCATACCTAGACGTATGTACACATGGTACGAAGAAGAAATATAATTATAACTACAAGAACAAACACCTATTTGCGTAATGGGCGGTTTACCGTCTTTCAAATAACGTATTTGTGAATAAATTCTTATATATATATATATATATATTTTCCGTTTTAAGGATATATATTAATGTAATTGTGGATGGAATACGCAGCGGTGATGCATTGAGTTCTTTGGTCTGTATCTAGAACCAATAGTTTACGTTTCAGATACACCGTATAATTTTATCCTGCACAAACCGTTTTTATCTTTAATATTCTAAGTGTTTTTTTTATCCTTTGATTAGGCATACATCAACTCATTATACTTTTACAAAATTGCCTCAAGATATTCGTATAAAATTGCATTGAGAAATATACGAAATACAATTCTAGTTCAACACTGTATTTGAAATTTCCTAAAAACAAATTTCGGGCAAAATCAATGTGGGTTTCACTGGTGATTTTTAAAATAATATACACCAAAGATTCTGTAATAAGTTTCACTCCAATACATCTACTCAAAATATTATTAAATAGTCTGATAACTATATAACTTCAAGAATATTATATTAAATTTTGCAGTGAACAAATACTTACAATTTTATATGAAATCAATAATCGAATCTATTTTAAGAAAAAATATAAAAAAACATTGATGGATTTAATGAATCTTCGGTTTAAGTTATTAATAATAGGTTATTCGTACTTATAAATATATTTCTGTACTTTTGATCAACATAGAAAATATTTATAACATTAAGATCATAGGTCAGATACCAATTTATAATTTTAGTATAGTGATAACAATTATTTTTTATTGAGCCTAATAATAATATAACTAACATTTAATGCGTTTTAATTAGAATGATTTGTAAAACTGTAAAAATTTCAAGTATTTTTATTAAGTACCTAATGAAATTTACATTTTTTTTCAATTATTAGCATGTATAATTATTACATTAACATAAAATCGACACCTGTCCAAGAACACCAATAAACTTATTCACCTGTTTCAAATATTATTATCTACCTATGTGTTTAATTTAGAAAAAAAAATTACATACAATAGACATATGGTGTTTCTTTTATATTCTTAATTTTTTTCTAAAATTGTTATATGTCCTACGTCCAAAAACTTAACGGTGTACCAGGGAAATAATAATAATAAAAAAAAAATCTCTTTGAGTATTGCATATATCGTACATAGTTTAGATACATATACATAATTACACGTACGAAGTATAATTTCAATTGTATCATCACAAGAATGAGAAAAAACAATTAAACACTCATCAACAAAAATCGAATTCATTACCGTGCCTTTATACAAAACAAAAAAGGGAAAACAGGCCTGGAGAGTAATAATAATTTTATTTTACCATTAAAGTCGTAGAGTAGGTTTACAATGGTCTGACCAGAGTTACCATTGAAAATATGGAATTTCATCGCACGCAGAAATATGCATACGTTTCTATTATATTTATAACAGATGTTCTAGTCGGGACTCAAAAGGCAGATAAAAATCAAAAAATCGTCCGTGCCAGTGTTATTGAGTGGGCTCATTCACGATGGAGCCCAGCGAGCAATAGACGAGTCATCGAGTGCAGGTCTGGGGAAAATTTCGAAATCGTCGAAAGGTGGGGTGGCGACGAAGGGTCGTGCGCGTTTTCATCTCCGCCAACGCCAACGCCACTGAGCGAAGGTTCGAGGAACAAGAGGGAATCACAATATACCGTATTCAACGGCAATCGAAAACGCATCAGCACTACACCCGAGAACGAGTGTTTAAACGAACCGGCAGTTAGCGTACCTACATTTCAATCGTATTTATTTTGCGTGTGTACTTAGAGGCGTGCTCACTGCGGTGTAAATCGGAAAATTGATCGTTGCCACGGCGCGTGCCTAAACACCAACCATGATTTCTCGACGAAAAACGCTCGGATGGTGAACGGGTCAACATATCGTTGGACCGGACTCGGTAGCGGAACAAAAACAGCCGTATAATAACACCTCGCATAGCGAGGTCGCAACGCACTTGTACATTCAAACGAAACTCACCTCTAAATGTTCCAAGTGTTTTGCTTGGCGAACGGATGCTACTGCGGCTGCAAGTCGTTTCAAGTAAATCCGACAACAATACTAACAATAATAACGAATCGAAAGCCCGACGACTTTTCTCGGCTACGGAAAACCGGTTCGGCCGACAATGATTATTTTAAGATATTTTTCCCAGCGTTTTCGGTTTCGCGCCGGGTCGTAAATGATCGTGAACAATAATATTATATTACGTGCAATATATTAATATAATACATTAATTTAACGCGCACGCACACACCGGTCGTGAATTATTATTTTACTATCTCGAACGCACTGAAACCGTACACGCGTTTCGGAACACTGAAAATCGGATTTTCACGCGCGAACCCAAAAACCGATCGGTACACGATAAAAACCGACGGCGGAGGGAGATTAAACGACAATAAAACGAAATACACAAACACGGCCGCGGAAAGGTGACGACGTCGACGGAGCTGGAACGTAACAACGCGACGGCGACGACACGCAGCGACGGCACACGAAACACAACTGGCGAGGTGCCGCCGACGACCGGCGGACGGGGCTCTGCGAGCGACCCGCTAATCGGTCGACGAGTCGCCGCGCGCCCGTCGCGCATTTACCTCGGCTAACCGGGACGCGTCTATTACAATATTACGTACCTACCCACCGCGCGGCGCGTTTTCTCCTTTGTATTATTTTGTTAGACGCGTTACCGATGTTTGTTTTACGGGAATTCATCGTGTTGCTGCATTACGTCCGATGAGATTTTTTTCAATCGATTACAACAAACGACGTTGTGTATTCCTTACGTATAATTACATCGAGGACGAACAATTGTATACCGAAACAATCCTGCAGCTTTTCGTTTCAAATTCGTAGTTCTCGTTATCGGTTTGGGGTGAGTATGGAAACGGTTAAAAAAATGTATACGTTTTATTCGTTGCAATAATGTATTTTGTTTATCGAATTATAAGAATGTACTTTGAATGAAAAACGAAATTATTTACATATTCTTATCGAGTTCGAATTTAAAACTGAATAAAAAGTACTGTTTCAGGTTACCGTATTTTTATGCTAGACATTTTTGAGCATTATAGAATTCTATAACTTGAGAAATGTCTCTGTACGCGTAGAGTGAATTTGTCTTCAACTTACTCCCATATTTTTACCATATTTTTTTCTCGTGATTAATGTAATTTATTTTTATTCTTAAGTGACAAAAGTTTCAAATTAATAAACCGAAAATAGGTTGATATATTTACAAATAAATAAAACGTAACCATTATTTTAATAGCATCACAACATAAAAAAAAACCATCTAATAATTTTGTGTGGATGTTTTGACCGGTGTCAATTATTTCGGTGTCACGAAGATGTCGTTAACTACTTTGTATTAATGAGTATAAAAATATTATGACACTGGTGGATTTTTGGTAAGAATTACGACCATCACACATTACATATTTTATAAACCTCAATAATAAAAAAGTCCTTTTCACAGCGTTCCTAAAGATAAAACTAAAATAAATATGTTCTATGTAACCACAACTGCCGTAAATCATATCACTAAAAGTAAATGAAAAATTAAAGATGTATAACTCTGAAAAAAAAAATTAAAAAAACAATCACTCTCCTTAAAATCGTTATTTTTCATCATTTTACAGAAAAAATGTATACCATTTTACGAATTTACCAAAAATATAGGTAATATAGGTAAAAATTCGTAATATTTTTATTCGTTGATATAATGATTTTTCGTTTTCTTTAGTCAATTTTCAAATGGTCGTTATCGTCATATTTAACTGAAATTCTGATGTCTCATGATTATGATCTTTCATTCTACTCCACCTACAATTGTTATATATAGACTATGATTTTAGTATAATTTCATTCAACAATCAAGCATAATCTCTTGTGATTGGATTAGTATAATATTAAAAATACAATAATTTTCATTCGTTCTTTCTATACGTGGTTTTAACACATGACATTATAATATCGATAAAAAATGTTGACACGACACGTACTTAATGGCAACGATATCAAATTAAACAAAAAAGAATAATAAATTAAAATATGACACGTACGTAGCGCACTTTAGCTATTTGCTTAAACGGAGCAGTGGTGCATTTAGAGAGCAAGAAAAAAATTATAATTAAACATTTGACATTATTTGGTGTAATTTTTAACTGAACAAAACACTTTAAAATTGTATACTGTTAAATATTGATATATATATATGAATTAGATATACATTTTAATATGTTATTCAAAACAAGCAAGGGATGCCATTTTTTCATTAATTTAGGGTGGAAAGAGATGGTGTAAGGTTGTAAAGCGTAGCGACAAGTTGGTGGGAGGGGGCAATAAAATGTTTTCACACCGAAGCGCATACATTATAAATACGCCAATGATATGGGAACACTGTATTATTTAATATTTGTACACATTTGTTGAGTACTATACAATTTTATTGTATATTTTAACAATACTGAATTCTCAGTATATTGAGACGTACATTTTAATCACGAGCTAGCACGTACACAAGGGGGAGTTTTAGGGGTTCAAACCCCTCCCGAAATTCAAAAAAATGATTAAATATGTGTTTATATAGTAAAATTGTTATATAGATTATATTATTATTACAACCTCAAACTCCTCCCAAAATATTTTTTTGTATACGTTCCTGATCACGAGTGCTAATTAATTTAACATAAAATTTATATTTGTTCACCAAAAATCGATATAATCAGCATATTAATTTATCAACATCAAAATATAGACTAATTTTTTGTCTCTTAATGGTATCATTCAAATTCGTGCAAAGAATCATATCACTCTGCACAGTATCTACTTGATACATACATCTGACACGGAATATTGTTGACCGGCAAAAAACAATAATATACCCAACCCTCATAAATTTGTTATGAGAAAAGAAAAAGGAACAGAACATATACATAAATATTGTAGTATTTATTAGGAAAATACGTCACATTATGTCAAGTGCGATTATTGCAACGGTTCATTAATATGTAAATTCAAAAATGTTTTTCATTTTCTATAATAAATAATCGAAAATTTAGGGAAAATCCGATTTTGTGTTTTGTTGGACAAAATCATAAAGTTAGAATCAATTACGATATAACTATAAGAATTAAAACTACAATTGATTACTTAAAACATTGTTTTACAACTGAGAAATTAAAAGTATAGCGTGTATCTAATTCGATTTCGAACAAATGTTAAAACTACTGTCGTGTACTTTTGGTTTATTACCAACTATATAGCTTTTTATTATTAAGAACTATTATTATTAACATTTAATTATCTCTGTGTCTTCACCGAGCATCTTCTCAACACATGTTTCCATGCAACTTTGTAAAATATTTTATTATTTCCGCTAATTATACTAAATTGTATGGATAGGAAACATATAAAAATATTTCTATACTATTGTGGTTAAAGATAAAATTATCGGGTAGTAATCGTGCAACATTCTTAGGCCAGATACCTAAATTAAATTTTATATTTATTTGAAAAACGAAAAACAAATTCTTTGTTTATCTATTATAAAATAAACCGAAGACATTTAATATTTGTACATTTTTTAAACTATCCACTGTAAATATTGCAACATTTAATTACACCTTAAGGATACGTTATAGTATAGTGTAAGCAATATTATACTTTAAACGCTATTTAAATGCATAACGTACAATGTCTAACTATTTACAATAGTCTAATGACTAGTAGCTTTCACACTATACAATTAGTAGCGTGTTTTAAGTACTTATTAATGAAGTTTTGTTATATTTATATTACTACTGTTGATTATTATACTGCCCATCAGTAACCGATTCGAGAAGTCAGAATAGTAGGAGAAACGAGAGCCCCGAATCGATCCACTTACGTGAACTTAAAACCAACTTGGTGCAACGGGAGGGGATGGTTTCGCAACTCCGGAAACGATGCTCCCCGAGGTTGAGGTGCCTGCTTGGTCTGCAACGGGGTGACTGCCGAAACAAGCGGTCGATAGTGAAATTATAAACCACAAGGCCCAATGGCGTGAGACCCGACACGGTTAGGTACGATTTCATGTTACACGCAAAACAACCGGTTAGGCACAGTACATTTCAATGCCATACAGTGGCGTAGAAAGGGTATGGAAAATTGTTGTGCCTACGCCAGGGGCGTGAATTGCAAAGGGGTGCCAAATTGTGCGAAAGTCGTATTTTTATTCTACAATCAAATCAAAATTTTTTCAATGAACTCTTTGAAATACGTAGATGTTGTCTATTTGTACATACTGCGTGTGAATTTAATTATGAAATTATTAAAATAGCGCAAGGACATTTAAATAAAAAATTTCATATAAAGAAATTATCAATGAATTTGCTAGTCATAAAGCGAGAACTGCAAATTTTCAAAGTTTAAAATGAACACTGTAATAACTTATAAGTATAAATTGTATACTTAAAAATATTAGTAAAATAAAAGTTTAAAAAAAATATCGTGACATAATTGTTTAAAACAGCGTTTTTTTCTAAGTTTGCCAGGGGCGCTAGTGAGTCTTCCTACGCCACTGTTGCTGAAAAAGTGATCCACATTTAGATCACCACAGAACGCAAACCAAGTGCCTCTTATTTTTTCATTTCATCAGCGAGCTCGCGACTAGAGTTCTAAAGCGATTTTATTTTACGTATAGGTGCCTAATTATGATTACACAACATTTGATTTTTGTAGGTCATGTCTACTTGCGTATAGTGGTCGTTATCGACACAAAATTACTGCAGTTTCCGAATAACTTAAGCACAAGACCAATGCGCACGTTACGCGTGTCTGTTCGAGACAAACTTCCAATTATTGCAGTAGGACAATGGATTCATCTTAAACATTTTTTCCTTTAAATTAAACTATATATAAACTATAGTAGCCTGTTCACATGAGACATAACAACGTGTGGCACGTGTGCATAATGGTAAAATGAAGTTTCCTCGAGTCTCTTACCTCAATGGCAGTAATAAACAATGTATATATCATACTGTATACTTATATCAAAATATTCGTTTATCAGTAATATAAGACTATATGTACATTGGACAGGTGCTTAGAAGAAATTAAAAAACAGAACTTGCCGTTTTATAAACGTAAAAAATGTTAAATACGCCATTGAATTACATTGTAACACAGTTTACACATAAATATCATTTCGAGATAAACCATGATGCTGCAGCAGTGTAAGAGAAAAATATTTATGAATAAAAATAAATACTATACTAGGTAATTATAGGAACATCATACCACTTAATGTTTCAAAAAATATTTGAACACAAATCTACTTTTACAGAAATACGACTTTCGAAAGTTTAGCATAACGGATTCTTGAAATGTTTTTTATTTTTTTGTGGTTTTATGAACAGTAATAGGTCAACGCCAATAAAACTTATTTAAAAAAATTTATGTTTTTCCTTTCATCATACGTTCAATAAAATTTTCAGTAATACTAATTTCACTGTCCACG